GAGAGAGAGAGAGAGAGAGAGAGAGAGAGAGAGAGAGAGATGCAGAGGGCAGGGGAGGAGAAGGGAGCGCGGTGTTTTTTTTTCCCTGAAGTGCTTTTTTAACAGTTCTTTTCTTAAACAGAAACCATGCGGAGGAGAGGAGGGTGTCGACGAGGGGGGAGGAGCGGCGGACAAGAAGAGGGGCTTCGGAGCTGAAGTGCAGGTGGAGTGGAGGAGCAGAGGGCGGAGAGGGAGCACAGGCGGAGCAAAAGCTGGGAGGGAGAGGGAGAGGTGAGAGGAGTGCGGGCAGGGGGGAAAGCCCGGGTGGAATTGGGGGCGCAGGGGCATACGGAGAGAGAGAGAGAGAGAGAGAGAGAGAGAGAGAGAGAGAGAGAGAGAGAGAGAGAGAGAGAGAGAGAGAGAGAGAACCATTTTTCTTATAAAAAAACGTGCAGAGCAGAGGAGTGGGTCGATGCTGAGGGAAGAGCGGTGGAGGAGAGGGGCTTCACAGCTGGAGCGGAAGGCGGAGAGGGAGCGCGGGCATAGTGGAAGTTGGAGGACGGAGAGAGAGAGAGAGAGAGGTGAGCGGGGCAAGGGAGGATTGGGAGAGGAAGGGAGGTGTGCAGCGCGGAGCTGGAGCTCGGGTGGAGTGGAGGAGCAGAGGGCGGAGAGGTAGCGCGGGCGGAGGAGCGGAAGTTGGAGGGAGACAGCGAGAGAGAGAGAGAGGGAGAAAGAGAGAGAGGGGAAGAGAGAGAGAGAGAGAGAGACGGACAGCGAGAGAGAGAGAGAGAGACAGAGAGAGACAGAGAGAGACAGAGAGAGAGAGAGGTGCGTAGATAGGGGAGGTGGGGAGAGCGCAGGCGGAGAGGGGGGGCCGGGCGGAGGGGGCCCGGTGTTTTGTTTTTGTTTTTAAGCATTTTTTTAACAGTTCCTTTTTTAAAACTGTGCAGAGAAGGGCGGAGCGGGGAGTGGAGCAGCAGAAGTTGCAGAGAGAGAGAGAGGGGAGCGGGGCGCAGGGGGGAAAGTGTGGGAGGAGGGGCGAGAGGAGGAAGGGAGGTGTGGAGTGTGAAGCGGGGAGCGCTGGCCGACGGAAGCTAGCGTAACGTGGGGGGAGTGGGGAGCGCTGGTGCAGGCAGAGGAGGGCGCACTGGCAGAGCGGTGCGGAGTGGGGAGCGCTGGCAGCAGGCAGGCAGGGGGAGAGAGAGAGAGAGAGAGAGAGAGAGAGAGAGAGAGACAGAGAGAGGCTGGAGTGGGGCCAGAGTGGGGGCGGAGTGGAGGATCGAAAGGCAAAGAGGGGCTTTGGAGCTCGAGTGTGGGCGGACTGGAGGTGCGGACGGACTCAAGTCTGTCCCAAACTCCAAGACCAGGACTTCAAGTGGGAACTGAACTCCAGAACTGGAGGCACCCTCATTTGTTCTGTAGTCATTCAAAACTTGTTCAAAAGATCTCTTTTGTAAAAGGTCACTAAGAAGTTAAAAACACTATAAATAGAGGAATCAGACGAAACATTAGAAAACAAATGCTAAACAGAGTGGGAAAAAAAAAGAGTGTGCACGTGTGTGTTTGTTCGAGAGTGGATATATGTGTGGTCGTGTGAGTGTGTGTTTGGTTCGATCAGCGCTCATCCCATCCCATGCGTCCTTTGCCGAGCACGGTGTTGGAGTGTGGATGTATGTGTGGTCATGTGAGTGTGTGTGTCACCTGGGTTGGTCCGATCAGCGCTCATCCCGTCCTATGCGTCCTTTGCCAAGCACAAGCAAATACTTTCACCCGACAGCAGGCAGCAAACAGGCAAGGCAGGCAGCTGCTGGACTAAGGGCAGGAAGCTACTCAACAAGGTCTAGTGATACAGCCTTGCCCCAGTACACAACTTCCAGATCGGGCTCCACCACGGAGCACTGGGAATGCATCTGTTTCTTGCTTTGGTCCCCGCCCAGTTACATTTCGAATGTTTTGCAGTGGCGTGAGAATCAGTGTCGTGCCGCTCACCAATTACAAAATCAACAAAGATTACGAAAACACAGGCTGAGTCGCACCACTCCCAAACACGAAAATGACAGACACTATGTGGTGCTGCAGGTGGTATCTTTCCGTGTTCCAGAGAGAAAGGGTAAATCCTCCATTTGTGCGTGCGTCGAGTCCTGACGTCCTCTTCCCTTTTTTTACCTTTTTTAGGCCAACGGCCATGAGATATCAGCATAGCACCACTTTTTTGTCTTCGTGGCTAGAATCATCGTTACGTCACACTGCTTCAGTTTTCTCGGCCGTCCGAATTCAGCCGGTGCCAGCACAACCCCTTAGAGATTAACGGGATTCGGCCTGCCTTTCCAGTCATCTTTTCCGGACAACCAGAGATAGACACCAGAAAACTCACTGTTTATCAGACACGATTTTGCAGAATAGCAGAACCAGGTCGGGACGAATCACGCCATATAGCGTTACACCGGACCTGAGGAACCCTAACTAAAAGAGAGAATAGATCTAGATAAGACTTGTGAATAGATAGATAAGACTTGTGGCCAACAGGTTACTCCCAAGAAAGGGCAGTCTGCCTCGGATTTGGATCCATCCCCGTAATCCATTCCAAACGGAATGCTGAGGTAAAGTACAGCCATGTGCGCACCTCCACACGCGGCCCTCAGGATTCTACAAGAGAGAAATAGATGTAGATACGACCTATTGTCAAGACTTGTGGCCAACAGGTAATTGCCAAGAAAGGGTACATAGCCCCCCGCCTAGGCCTACGTACGGCCATCTGTGCACCTCTTCCACGTGCAGTCAGCTGCTGGAGGGCATGTTCAAGAGGTTCCAATGCGGTGTCTCTGTCACAGCATATGTCCATTGTGCCTAGCACGATTTCTGGCAGCATGAGCCATGGAGAGGACCCCTCATCTGCCACCTTCACCAAAAAAGAACCATGGCATTGCAACGCTCAAGGTAATAGAAGCCACAAAAATGCCTAATCAATGTAATCATTCCATTTGGAATAATTTTGGTATGCCTGCCAACTCCTAAACATGGTATTTCATCCCAACTTAACACACAATTGCAAGCAACAAATTGGTGGTACGACATGTCATACCGGTCTCAGCAGCAGAAACATCCCACAGGTGTTTGGGCTCTTTCCCTCACTCTAACAGATGAGCCCAACCACCTAAGTGGTGATAAACACGACGGGAATTGGATGAAGGAACCTCACCTACAAAAGTATCCAAAAGGCAGCGCACCGACACTCCCACAAGACCCAACAAATTTCACCCTGTCCCCTGCATCACAACCACATAAGACAAACATGATATAGACTTATAGTCAAATTTCAGACCGTCAATGTAGACACACGCACACGCATACGCTTGGCAGAGACACACAGACGAGATTCAACGCTAGTGTGGACAACTAAACAAAAAATCAACTCAGTCATCACAGAGCTTCACTGGTCCAACCTGCACAAGCCTCTCTCTCAAACACTCCTGCTTCCCCTACTCTTTTTCTACCTATCTGCATTGGAATGAAAGCACTTATCCAGCACCTTGTCATCCATCATGCATCTCATATCTGAATATGAAAAAGAATGTGCGAACACACCGCAATCCAACTGTGTCAGTGCCATGGGGGGATGGAGGTATTTTTGTCAGCATTAAGGCTGGACTTGTTTTTGTCCTCGGTATCAGTTCAGAGTGTCTCTCTGGACTAGGACCCGACTTCACAGCGAGATTGTGCACGGTACTGTCCTTCTCCAACCGAAGGACGAACCCAGGCTGGACTACAGGACTGGTTCAAAGCACAGGATGGGTGGATGAATAGCTGAACTGCCCAGCCAGGTACTGAGGGAGAGGCTGGGCCAGAACAACACTTCATAGCAGGAATGCACCAGGCTGCTATCTGCACAGTGGCAGCAGTGTAGAACATGAAGGGGTAAGTCACCTTCAGACTGCAGCGACTTGGTATTGAGCTCCTGACCATCACCTTATGTCAAGAGTCACCTTGGTGTAGAAAAAGACAGAGAGAGAGAGAGAGAGAGAGAGAGAGAGAGAGAGAGAGAGAGAGAGAGAGAGAGAGAGAGAGAGAGAGAGAGA